AGGACATCCAAAAAATGTTCTTCTGATCAAGCACTGTGATGCCAACACAGAATAAAAAAGATCCTTTGTGATGTTGCTGCTTTATAAAATGTTATTTAGGCAACATCAGTGATTGATGATTGTGTGAAATATTTTTTAATCCATTGATTTAAGTCTCAAATGAGCAACTGCCTGTGAAACACTACGGGTTGGGCTATAATTTAAATGAAACAAGATAAAATTTCTGTTACAGAGCTGCCTATAGCAGAGCAATGAACTTCCATTCATGCTATCAGCAAACACACAACAGCTTAATCTATTCTTGACAGAAACAAGAGCCTGCAGGGGACAGGATCAGGGAGCTGAAACGGGACAAGATGAGGGGACACCATGAGGGGACATGATCAGGAAACGAGAGAAAGGGACTGGATCAGGGGACGGGATAATGGGACATGATCAGGGGACAGGATGAGGATGAAGAGATAGGATCAAGGGACTGGATCAGGATGAGGGAACAGGAGGAGGGAACTGGATCAGGAAACTGGATCAAGGGACAGGACGAGGAGACTGGATCGCCGGACAGGATGACTGGACGTGATCAGGGGACAGGATCAGGGAACTGAAACAGGGGACAGGATGAGGGGACAAGATGAGGGGACAGGATAATGGGACACGATCAGGGGACAGGATGAGGGGAAGGAATGAGGGGACAGGATGAGGGGACAGGATGAGGGGACAGGACAATGGGACACGATCAGGGGACAGGATCAGCGGCTTACCCGTCCCGGGCCCCGCCGCTCCCTCAGCAGCCTGGGTCCCGCTCGCAGCACCAGCGCGGCCATGGCAGCCCCGGCCCGGCCCGGCCCGGCCCGGCAGTCCCACGCTCCATCTGCCCAGGGCCAGGGCCTCGGGCCCGGTCGGCGGCGCGGCCGTGCCGGAGGTGCCCGAGGCGGAGCGGCTCTTCCTGAGGCAGCACCCGCTGCTCAGCCCCGCGGGGCCGGGCAAGGTGCGGCCTGTGAGGGCTGGGGGGCACCGTGAGGGTCCTGAGGGGATGGGGCCGCCTCGCTGAGGGTCCGTGATGGGGACGGCGCCGCGTGGTACCCGATGGGCTCGGCCCCAGCGAGCTCCTGCCCCGAGGTGTTTGTCCAGCGCTGGAAGGCCGGGGAGCAGAGCGCTGGTCTGTCCTGCCCTCCCCAGCCCCGGGATGGATACGGGAAGGGTGATTAGGCATTGGAAGGGGCTGCCCAGGGAGGTGGTGGAGTCCCCGTGCCTGGAGAACGACTGGACGCGGCACTGAGTGCCATGGGGTGGTTGGCAAGGTGGGGATCGGTCGTAGGTTGCATTGGATGATCTCAGAAGTTCTTTCCAACCGATTGGACTCTGAGATTCAATGGGATGAACCCCTGGGTTTCCTGACCATCAGTGTGTTTTTAGGTGAGGTGCAAGCTGACAGGACACGAGCTGCCCTGTCGCCTGTCGGAGCTGCAGGCTTACACCAGCGGCAAGAAGTACCAGCGGCTCATAAAGGCAGCCAGAGAGTTCGACTATGGCACATTTGAGCCCCACATAGTGCCCAGCACGAAGAATTTGTACGTATTCTCCCTGCTGTGTGTTGTGCTTTACACTTTGTTCAATCTCGGACATAACGTGGTTGGGCTTTACAAATTTCTTAGGAACTGGATTTGGGGAGACTGGGAAAAGATTTATAAAGTATTTATCAACTTTGAGCCACTTGCAGTGCTTGTAAGTGAAAGGTTCTGAAGTCACAGCACACTTTAACTGTTGCTGGCCTTTTCTGTGTCTGTCAGACACCAGCTGTTCTGCAAGCTCACCCTCAGACACATCAACAAGCTTCCAGAGCACGTCCTGCGTCACGTCCAAGGGAAGCGCTACCAGAAGGCCCTGAAAACGTGTAAGCAGTTTGTTTTTTTTTTTTTTTCCTTGAAGCTGTACCAGGCAGCATTTCTTTCCTGAGCTGTTGAGATTCCAGTGGATCTCTCTGAAGTGGGTGGGACAGAGTTGTTTAAATTGACAGCAGTGTGTTACTATGTGTCCTCCTCAGCTAGGAAGAAGTTCTCAGATATAGGGAGCAATTGGCTTCTAGCAAATACCTTGTAACATCCTTCCTTAAGATCAGCTGTGAAACTCCCCCAGGAAGTGTGATTCATGTGTCCAGCACAGTCTATGTTAACATCTTTCCTGGTTTATAGTGTCACTGTAGATGTATATTTGGAGCATGCTGGACTTTCAAGTTGCATTTCCTACAAGCTTGAGCTGGGAATGGGAGGGCTCAGAGGCTGGGCAGCTGATCAGTGCTGCCTGACCCTCTCTCTTAGATGAGGAATGCCAGAGGGAAGGAGTGGAGTACGTCCCTGCCTGCCTGAGACAGAAGAAGCAGCGGGCACAGCACCGTGATGACCAAACAAATGGGAGCAGGCAGCCTCACAGGAAAGAGGAGTTCTGGGAGCCAAAGTCCAGCGAGGAGGATGGAGAGGAGACAGATGACAGCATGAGTGACCTGTACCCACGTGAGTGAGAGCCATGGTGTCACCCATGTCCTCAAGGGAGTTGCTTGGTTAATTGTCTCCTGGTTTCTTTACACTGCTGCCTGATGCTGGTGTCCAGAGACACCTGACTTCATCCAGTTGGGAGTGCTTGGGTTTTGGAAAAGCTTACCACCACCAAATAAGAAATAGTTAATGCTAATAATGAGTTGGATCATGCAAGGTGTGAGGAAAGGGATACCAGATCCACTGGGATTTGCTGTTTTAGGAATCTCCACTTTCCTTGTTTCTCAGCAAATCCTTGACAGAAGGTGGTCAGGCTTAGATCTGGAGGTGCAAATCCATCTTGCTGCAGGAGCAGGGGCGTAACACATGGCACCACCTGTGCTGACATTCCCAGAAGGGGAATAGAAAGAGCACCAAGGCACATTTCCAATAAAACACCCGCATGTTTATTTCCCAGGTATTCCAGTAGTGACACGTGGTGACTGGAAGCACCTTTAAAGCAAAGTGAGGGGAGGCAGAGGGAACTGATTTTGAGCTGAATCTTTTTTAGCTGCACTCTTCCCAGAAAAAAACCCCTCAGCTGCAGAGAGCACAAAGGGCAGCGATGACTTCGTGACAGACAGCGAGGACGACGGGGCCAAGCAGAACGGAGAGCACGGGGCAAGGAAGGATGGCAGCAGAGCAGCTGGCAAGAGAGGAAAGGTGGGAGTCATCCCACTGCCTGCAGCAGCAGGGGGTGTGGAGCTGGGATCCCAGCCCGTAGGTGTGCCAGCTATTCCTGTCTGGGAACCAGCAGAAGGTGCAAAGCTGTTCAGAATAGATTTTTCCCTGTGTGCCAGACAGTGACTTGCATCCCGAGGTGTGAATTCCTGCCTGGCAATATTTATCCTGGCTGGGGTAGTGAGGGATGTTCCTGCCTGTACAAAGAGCTCATCTTGGGTGGGATCCTGCCCCACACCATCATAGAAGGAAAGCTGATGTGTCTCCTGTGGGTTCTGTAATTTTCTCCAAATACACAAAAAATTTAACTGTTTTGCAGTCACAGAGTCCCTCTAGACCATTTTTCTGCCACTGCCTTACGTTATAAATGTGTCAAAGTAGGAAGTTAGAGCTGGATAAAGTTTGGATTCATTGCTGCAGGGAGCCTGTCAGTTCATACCTAATGAAACCATCAGAAAGGGCTGCTGAGCTGCAGGATCCTGGCTCCACGAGCAGACTTGGGCTCATTCTGGCTGTTGAAAGAGATCACACTCAGTTTCTGTTTAAGCTGTCTCAAGCAAGGCTTTTTCTGGATGTTGGAAATAAGCTGATTAACATTTTTTTCCCTACAGAAACAGACAGGCCCTTTAAAGAAGAAATTCAAGAGCCATCATCGAAAACCCAAAAACTTCAAGAAAGCAACCAATGGGAAATAAATTCTATGATAAATACCTGGCCTGAAGCCTGTTGTGTAACAATTCTAGTGGGAGCACAGCATGAAGTGTCTGCCCATTCCAGTTAACTGTTAGAGGTGTGAAAGGGAATAATGGACTGGAATGAAGTTGCATTCCAAGAGCTTCAAGCCAGCCCCACACCGAGGGAAGGATGTCTGCTGCAGTCAAGTCCAGACAGCTCAGTTTTTTTACAGAAAGCTGGTTTTTGTTAGGCAGGAAAGCACAGCAGCTCAGCAGTGGAGCATCACCAGCCACACACGCCAAGTGGATACAAAGATGCCATTGTTTTATTTTGATTGTTTTCAAAAATCAAAACATTTTCAAACACAACTAAGGTACAAAATACAGCATAAAATGAGAATTTATACTTATTTCTTTTTTTTTTTTTTCCACATAGAAAGCAAAAATATATTCAGAATGAATTCCAGAACACTTTGCAGAGCCAATTGGTAGCTGACAGCCTGCTTGTGAGAGCTTCTCAGCCACGGGGAGAGGTCACTGAATTTCTGGGAGATGCACAAGTACAGCAGTGTATGTAGGAAACCAGAATCTTCTGCATCAGGACTCACAGTTAATAAGTCTGCACGTTGTGCTGCCTAGAAGTATCTGATAATGCCCTCCACCTAACTGCCCCTGGAATACTGAAGTATTCCTGCTGCAGGGAACAGCAACAGTTCCTTTTCTAGGGTCTTTTGTTGGGAAGGGGACTTTATTTTCACAGAGGAAACTGGTCAATATTTCAGACTAGTCTGTCATCCTGCTCCTTAGCTAGAGAGGACACAAGGAAGTTGAGAAAGGCAAGGGGCTACTTGCAGGAGTAGTTTCTGTCATTTATAAATACTATGAACATCAACAGCAGTTCAGGTATCTGACAGGACACAAGGAAGTTGAGAAAGACAAGGGGCTACTTGCAGGAGTAGTTTGTCATTTATAAATACTATGAACATCAACAGCAGTTCAGGTATCTGAGAGTGGCTGCCTTGATCAGTCTGGAACCGTTTGAAGAGCTGCAGTGAAACTGAAAGGCTCCTGTGCTGCAGCCCTGTGACTGAAAGGACCAGTTTGTTTAGCCAGGAAGAGTCAGGAACACAGAACACTTTGAGGCAAAGACTTCTCTTGCAAAACTTCCTTGAAAAGAAAGCCATCAGTGACCTGACCTTAATGCTGAATTCCCCTTCCATCAATCTGGACATGGGGGTTGGACTAGATGATCTCCAGAGGTCCTTTCCAACCCTAACTATTCTGGGATAGCAAATGGCTTCCTCCAGCAGCAGCACATCTTGCCCTTACAGAGGCTATTATCCCCTTAAGATGATGAAATCACTGGTTTAACTTTCAACAGTGCTCTTCTATTTTTTATTAGTTCTTTCAGGCCAGTTTTCTCTCCTAAAAAGCAACTGTTTAACTGAATGTCCAGGTGAGTGCCCTTATCAGGAGACCCTGGGGAACAGCTCCCATTGGAGATGTTCAGCTGAATTCCTCCTTCAACAAAGAGCTGAGCATCTTCCTCAGGGGAGGCAAGAGAGCAAGGAATCAATGTAATGGTAGGAAGTTGGTAGGGCTCATGCTGTCTAGAATTCCTCCACAATTTAGTGAAACAGGTTCACACCTAGTTGACTAAGAGAGGACACAAGGCCTCCCTGAGCAGCACTAAGCATGGTCATGGCACAGAGGTTGTGGCACTGAGAAGCCAAACAGGGCCTTCCTTTCCTCACCCTCCTGAGTTTCTCCCGGGGAAGGTTCACCCCTGGCTGCTTCTCCACTGCCCAGGCTTTGCACTCACATTCCTCAGCTAGAACCGTTTGCAGAGTTGGGAACAGGGGCCACTTCCACATTTCCACCCTGCACAGCTCAGGGTGCTCTGAGGTGGCAGAGGAGGGGCTGTCCTGGAGAGCTCAGCAGCCCAGCTCTTCAGCCAGCTGGGACTCTTACAGCCAAGAGACTGACAGAAGTGAATCTAAGAAGCAAAGATTACAGATTAGGAGATTGACTGCTCTCATCTGGCAAGTACTGAGTGCACAGAAAAGGGGAGTTTCTGTAATTCTCAAGACATTTTCACCATTAACCTGCCATTCAAATATGAATTTGGGGTATATATTGATGGAAGCTGGTTAATAGGAGAAAGGAGCTTTTATTATGGAACCTGCAGCACAACTTGGCTCCCTTCTTGGGAATTCAGGAGGAGCAGCTTTTGGGGAAAGAATGTAGAATAGAGAATTCTTTTGGCACAGAATTTTCACAGAATCTAATGTTCTGTCTCTTCAGGATTATCTCCCCCACTTCCTTTAAATCTGATTAGCAGTACAGGATTCATGATTAACAATACAGGATTTCCCCTTGTTCCCCTCAAGGGCAGAACTGGGACACGTTAGAAAATCCTCTCCTTTTTCTTACCCAGAAAGCAGTGCAACTACTTCCAAGGTTTTCTTTTTGCCTTCTATTCAGGAGCAGGAAAGACCCTTCCCTGCTGAACAAAAGGGAATTACAGGCCTCTGAGCAGCAAAATAACTGATTTTCTAGGTTTTCTTTGATGCTGCTTTCCACCTTGATAAGCAATGCTATAACCAGCCATGGAACTCCTTATGCACAAGACAGTTTTGATAAGGGCAAGAAAGGGGATCCACTTTTTTAGTTATAGCTACAACCCAACACCACTGAATGATCCAGCTGTATCTGCTCACCTTTCTGCAAATTTTAAGACATTGCTGACATTCCAGACAGCAACTGTTCTACTGCAATTCACTGAAGCATCAGCAAAATGCAGGTTCCTTGGGTTAGTTCCAAATCTAGGAAGTTAGAATTAGCCTAGGCAACATTCCTTGAAGAAATAGGATTTTATCTATTGTATTACTGGTGCCACAGTAAATCAAATTCAAAACATCTGTGCCTTTTATAGGAAGGGGGCATGTATGTGTAAAATGCTGGCAGTTTTTGTTGAATCCATAGAGAATCAGTTCTGGACTTAGTACAGTATGTCCCAAGAAGTGTTGCTATTCCTGTTACCACTCTTTTTTCTTCTCATCCATGGAGACTCCACCAGGACCCAGTGCAACCACGAGGAGGAGCCCTCCAATGACAGACATGGTCTGGAAGAAATCGTATTTGAGGAAGTCGTGCATGGGCTTGTAGGCTGGGACGGTCCAGAAGGCATTGAAGTAGATGTTGATGCCAAAGAGCCAGATGACCAGAGTCAAGGCAGCCAGCTTAGTCTTGAAGCCAATTGCCACCAAGATAATCAGGGCTGTGCCCACAATGTTCTGCAGAATCTGCAAGGAAAAAAAGCCACGAAAAACACATTTTACTTACACAGTTCTTAAACAGATACACCAACATCAGAGCAGAGCTTGGATAAGTTCAGTTGTCATGGCATAGATAACCTAATAACATTTTCTGAAGTATTTAAATTTACTTATAGATTTTCTAAAGTATTAATTTTACTTATAGATTTCAATAAGCACTGAGATCCTGCAGTCCACCTGGGCACTGGTGCTACATTCTAGTTGCTGAACTCGTACTTCAGTGCTGAGATACTTACAGAAAAGAAGTTCATGTCAAAGTGTAGCAGTGTCATGAACATGAGGACGAGCAGCACTCGTCCCCCCAGCTGCATGTACTGTTTTGGGGAGCTCTCCCTCATGGTGGGGACACCAGCAAACATGCTCTTCCCCTCCGAGCGGGACTCAGCCAGAAGCAGCAGCAAGCCTCCCCCAAGGGCAAGATTCCTGCACAAATGGGAAAAAAGAGGGGAAAAAAAAGCAGTTTAGTACAGCTTGCACTGATCTGTATCTGTAAAGTCTTATCTGACAATGTCAGTAAGGATCTGTGAGAGTGAGGAGTGACTTGCTCTGCACTGTGGGATGTGTTTGTCTGTGTTAGACTTCCCAGCCCCAGCAGCACTGAGCACACCCAGGATTTGGGGGAGCAGCCTGCCAGGGAAGTCCAGCACCCACCACTCAGGCACAGTTGCTTCAGGGGCCGTTACAACACGGATTTCATTGTGTTCAAGTTATTCTGTACCTCAGGTTTAGCCATATATGCCAAAGTAGTTCAGAGGTTGCTTTGAGAAAACAGAGCAGCTGAAAAGTTACACATTGACAGGGCTGTAGTAACCCAGAGTGTAGCTCTTGTGCTGGCCTCCCTCAGAGGGGTGCAAAGGCAACAGCCAGCCATCACTCAGGGCCTGACAGGAAAGCTCATGTTTATAATCTTGTCTTCTCCTTAAGGAAGGTGTTAAGAGGTTTAAAATCCCAGAAACCACTCCAGTGACCACATGCTGTAGTTTTCTCAGAAAATGGCTTCAGTCATGCAGAAGCAAAGTTGCTATTTTTGCCATTTGGGAAATAAAAGCAACTCTGACCAAGTGTAGACAGTTGGTTGAGCTCTCAGCCAGGTCAGCAGCAGAAGCACTTGGATCCTAGTGGGTTAGGATTAGTCTTTCCCTTCCTGAGCCTGCTCTCTTTAGTTTAACATCATCCCTCCTGATTTTTCAGGAGCTATCATTTCTTCTTTAATATAAATGCATCACTTGTAAAATCTTTCTAGTAAATACTATGTACAAATGTCATTTCCTCTGCCAGCAAGTGTCAGTTTTCATTCTGTTTCCATAAAAACGTCCAGAAGCAGGCATACCTCATCAAGAACTTCAGGTCCCATAGAATGCTGTATGCAATAGTCTAGACAAAGAATAAAACAGGTTAAAACATCATATAAATGACACTGAAGTTCTGAGTTTCTGTTACAATCTCAAGTCTGTATCTGCCACGGCAGATTTTGATTATAAACACAGTATAGTGAGGGAAACAAGGTCATTACATCAGTGTGGTCCAGTGAGTCTGTGTAACACAGGGAAGGGAAGGCAGAATTTGATTTGTGCTTTAGGGTCCCCAAAATTCCCTGGTTTTGTAGGGGAAGGATGCTACTAGATAGGATCCTTTGTGATGGGAACACAGCTGAAGGCCAAAGCAACTGCAAGTTCCACATTTGGCTCATTAACTGACATCCAGGTAAATTGCCAGTTACTTCTGCTAAATTGGTCAAGGTCAAGTATTGAATGAATGTCTCCAAGCTGACTAATTGCAATTACATCTATTGGGCACATCAGGAGAACAGAAGCAGCAAAATAGTTCAATGCCATCAAGGACTGGCACTAAGCCAGGGTGGAGAAAAATTCCAGGGTTGCAAGTTATATTTAAACACGTTGGGAGTACTGGGGCTAAGAGAGATTTGAAAGATACAGTTTAGAAGGGATGAAGATTTAAGCCTCCTACCTGTAATGCTATAATTCCAAACAGTCCAAAGCAGGCATATTGCACAAAGTTCCTACTCAGCACCAGGATACAGCCACCTGAGGTGGGGAAATTGAACACAGTTACACTTGGAAAAGCTCCTGCAGGAAGGCTAACTTGGATTTTCCTTTTTCTTCTGTGAGATAACTGTTAGGCCCATCATGCTGTATTCCTTTTCCTTAAAAGGTTAAAACTCAAAATCTTTCTCAAAACTTCCATCAGAAAGCACCAACAGCCTTTGTCACTTTGACATGAGGACTGGCAACTGCATTAAATTAAGGTGACTATCTACACCAAATAGTGAGGGCAAAAAATCTAAAACCAGACACGAGATAAGGAATTGGCAATCAGGGACATAATATAAACAGAACAGGATTTTTCCCCTCTCAATTTCTGACAGCCTGAGCCCACCCAGCATACACACAGCACTGCACTCTTTCAGGGATTATTTTGATTCCTGAGCTTTGGAAATATTTCTGACACAAGCACCTCACTCAGGCTTAAATGCACCCTCTCCTGGTTAAGAATTTGCCTTGGAGATGAATGCTCATAAAAACAGGAGGCTGAGAAAGTCTCAACATGGCCCTGTTTAAAAGAACAGGAGTATTTCATTTAGAGAACTCTGGGTGTGGCTTGTATTTATGGATACATGTACAGAACTGAAATCAGATTGTCCTGATGAATTCTTGCCATCTCTGACTCAGAGCACTGTGTCACAAGGAACTCTCTACGACTGCTTCCAGGAAAGGCTGAAGCAGGTCAGTTCAGAGCTCTTTCCATTCAGCCCATGCAGTACTATCATTTCTGAGCTGTCAGGAGCTATCAGGAAATCAGCGAGGCATCCCACGCTGCCATGATTAACAGAACTCCAGCCACACTGGGGGGCTCTGCCTGCACCTGAACAGCCCCAGAGCCACTTACTCAGCTGCCCAAAGAGGTTTATGATCACAAAGATGGAGGCCAGGAAGTAGCCACAGTTCCACGTGCCATCGATGTAGTCCCTCTGCTCACTCCACTGGAACCACATGCGGATGCCATCCTCCAGGAAGGTGCTGATCAGGCACAGCCGGGCCACGTGGGGCAGGTACTGCTTGGTCACCCTCAGGAACTGCAGGGGCACACAGGGCATTAGCAGGGAAGGCAGGGAAAGGGACACAGCAGGGATAACACAGCCCTGCTCTCTGCACACTGAGATCAGCAGTTCTCATGCACTCAGGGTCACCAACATCCAGAGAGAAGCTGGGACTTGGATTTTATGAAATGCTTCTTCACCCACTGGGAGCAGCAGGGGAAACCTGTTGTCATTCTCCATTGGAATAGGACTTGGAAAAAAAGCAGAATCCAGCACCACATTTCTTGTAACAGGAACTGTGCTTTGATGGAGTTCTCACTAATGAAGGCTGACCTTGGTTTTAGTTTCTCTATCTCAGGGTTTCATGTTACAGCTCAGCTATCAGATAGCCTGGAGCTGAAAGGGCAATCCTGCTCCCACCCATGTGCTCAGCACCCTGGGACAACCCGGATTCAGGGAGCCAGGCTGAGAGAAGACAAGTTCTGTACAAATTTAAAAAGATGACTAAATTGTTTGCCAAACTCATTCCCTCCAACAGCTCAGTGCAAACAAAGCACATGTACTCGAGCAGCAGCAGATCTGAGCTCCACATGACCACTGCATGGAACTCTGTCCTCTAGGCAGGTTTTTACTTCCATTCAAAGGATCATCTTCTGCAGGAAGGAAACATAGGTTTACAGCCACAGTTCAGTGCAGTGGTTAAAAGGAAATGATATCATCATGCAACAGATGCTGAGCTTTAGTTTTTGGGAATGGAAAATGTATCTGGGCCCCCTTCATCTTGCAGGCTCCTGGATCAGTTGGCTCTGCAATTACAACAATTAAAGGAACAAATCCAAAACTGCCAAACAGAGTCTAGAGGGTGGCGTTCTATAGGTCTGTGGGGTGCACAGGAAAGCTTACTGCCTCTGGGTTAGGACAAGTGTTTAATTGTCAACCCATTTTCTAGGCAGCACTGGTTATTACTTAATTGAGACTTCCAGCAGGAAGGAGACAAAAACCACTTCTGACAGTTTATTCCTGCCAGCAGCAATCAGTCAATACTAAAGGCTATGCAAATGACAAGCCTAGCTCACTGTGCAACTATAGATTATCACCAGAAAAAAATCAGCAAACATCCTTAATGGTCAATTAAACAGTTAATATTGGAACAAACTGCACTGTTGTACTGCCTGTATCCAGAGTCTAAGGGTCAAAATTCACCTTAATCAAGTGCATTTTAAGTGCAGCTGTACTCTGCCTCCTGAAGGCTGCCACTTCAGGCTTTTTTAAGCCATGTCAACAGTTGGATGAATGAGTCAGAAGAGAATTTCTGATCTTTGTCACTCACTGAATGAGACACACATCTTGGTTTACAGCTTTCCTCCCTCCTGGGTTTCACTGTGAGGTTGAGGAAACTTGCTGAGGAATACTAAGAATAAAGTTCTTACAAACCAGAAGTCTTTTGTAAGATACAGAACAAGCAACTTTGGTCTAGAAAGAAATGAAAGAAGACAAGTGCTGGGAATCTGTAAGGAAAGGATAAAAACAATGCTGTGGTAAGGCTGAAAAAAATCAGCAAATAGAGAGTATCTTCCTCCAAGCCTCATCTCTGCTGTTTTGAAGTGGGAGTTGACCTCATTTTCCCCTTCCCTGGAACCATGAAGAGCACAGGTGAAGGATCCAAGAAGACATTTAACATTTACCTGTTCTCTTGGCAGGCAGAGGGAATTTAACACTGGCCATTAAACACGAGTGCACACATCCAATGGGCTCCAGACAAGTCAGACAGGCTGCAGCCCATGGCAGCTCCAGTGCTAAGCAACCTCACAGCACACACATCAGCCCTGGGCACCCACAGCCCCTGGAGCTGCACTCCAATTGAACCCCCTGTACACAGCAAGCTCAAATAAGCTTCAGAAACAGCCTGTGGGAACAAAAAACTGACACAAAGGAACCAGGAGATCCAGAGAGAAAGGAAAAGAAAACAACTACACCACGATTACAGGAAGAGAATGTACCAGGCATCAAGTGATCTCACAATTAGAGGATCTGGGTGTAAATCACTCGAGTAATTTAACTAAAGATGGAATAAATGACAAGAAACATGAGAGCTCCAGCAGTGGGACTCAATGAATAGCACCAGTCACCCTGGGTCTGGCCCTGCACAGCACCAGCACTGTGTGGCTCAAAAGCTGCACCCTGAGCCCACTTCCTTTAAGATTCACACAGACAAAGTGGGAAAATTGCAGTTTGATACCTGCAGCTAAGAAATGGGACCTGAAACACACCCTGCACTGAGCACAACACATCCAAATCCACTGATGGAGGAGGTGGCAGCACTAAACTCACAACATCAAATAACTGCAGGGCTTTTTCTGCTTTGGGCTATGCATCAACTGCTTTCCACATGTCCTGTCTCCTTGGAAGAGGGGAAACATCATGAGAAAAGACAAGAAAATGCTAAATAAAACTATTTTAAAGAAGAACAGCTGGTTCTGTATTGGCAGCCAAGTCACTGACATATGCCAGAGGGGCTTTGTGTTGCCACTTCCCCCTCTAATGGGATTAGAAAGGCAAAGATAGATTTAAATGCTCCTTTAAGTTTAACAGCCAAAGATGTACAAGAAGATCCAGGGATCCTTTAATCAAAGCTCTGCTCAATCCCCCCATTTTTCTAAAGGAGGACTGAAATTTTCAAACCCATAAAGGCCTGACAAAAAAAGAGGCAATAAAGTGATTCATTTGGACCCTACCTCCAACAGTTTCACATTTGCTGAAAGTCCACTCTATGTCGATAAAAGTGTATGTACCATGGTACAATTACAGGTATTTTAAGTCCAATAAATGGATATGAGTTGGGAATTTTTGCAGGTATGTTCTGTCCAGGCACAAAGCCCTTTCCTGTGTATTCATGTATCAGGGAAGTTCTGATTATGGTGAGGAACAGCACACTGCTCATCTATACAGAAACCCTCCTGAGCTGCACAGCATTATTAGTGTAGAGCTTCTGATAAGGCATATCCCAAATATCTTGAACACTTTTAAGGGATTGCTTTGTTCTAGGAGAACAAATTCCTCCAGCAGCCTGGGACACCACTGATCATTCCTGGAAAAAGATGCTCAATCCACAGAGGAAAAAAAAACAAAAAAAAACCACTTTCTTTCACCAGCTTGGATACATTCACTCAAAGAGATCCCACGCCAAAATCATAGGGACAGCAAAACCCATCACATTCATTAGCCCAGTGCCTACAAAATGCTGTACAAACTGGGACCAGGCTTTCCCATTTATTTCCAAAGGCAGGAAGAGGGCTCTGACCCACTAGAGCATTGCCAGCAATATTAATTAGGTTTTTAATTGCAGGAAGATTTCTCAAAGCTTTCCCCTTCCCTTCATACCAACTCCCTTTTCCAAAAGGCTATTTATTAATGAAACCTTTAAAATGGTACTTTTAGTAATTTATTGCATTTTACTATCATTCTTCATGGGAAATGTTTTCCTCAGCCTAACCAGAACAGGCTACTTGGCTTACAATGATAAACAATCCGTGCACTGCCATGACAAAGTTCCATTTTTTTAATCTAACTGACAAAGTTCAGACTAACAATGAAATGTTTTCTTCTCCCTTCCATTTTGTACAAAATAGGATACTGAGGACAAGAAATAATGGGTTCAAACTGAAATGTAAGCTAGAAATTGGGGAGAAATTCCCCCTTGAGAGGATGGGGAGACCCTGGCACAGGCTGCCCAGAGAAGCTGTGGCTGCTCCTGGATCCCTGGAAGAGTCCAAGGCCAGGTTGGACAGGGCTTGGAGCAGCCTGGGACAGTGGGAGGTCCATGGCAAGGGGCAGAACAAGATGGGCTTTAAGGTCCCTTCCAACCCAAATGGTTCTGTGATTCTGTATCAGAATTATCTGGACAAGATAGATCAGCATTTATCTGGAAAAATTAAACAAACTCCCCCAGTCTGGCTCTCCCTGCAGCCCTCTCACTGCTGTGCAATGACTCAATAGTCTCCCTGCATTTTTGTTCATGAATCTTTTTTTTTTGAACAGCAGAAATACCAAGCACCCACATTCCTAAGGATTTATTCCTAAAGATTATTACAGACACTAGGAAAGTTGCCTGAGCTCTGCTCCCTCTTAGGAAGGGATTACAAAGGAAAGACAAGGCCCCAGATACAGCTATTTTCAGTACTTGGTGGCTGCACTGAAGGGGTTGCCAAGTAATATTTCAACAAAGATCACTAAAAATGGGCTTAATTTCTGAGTATGTAAATTACTGAGTTACTAACACTGAGCTGGTGTTACAGTGTCCCCTCACTGCAATTCCTTACAGCTCAGAGCTGCCTATTACCAGCAATCTCACCCTCAGTATTGCACCTCACTCGACCTAAACATGGAGATCACTGAACCAAGTGACAAAAAAAACCCCTCAAATTTTTCTGCTCCCCAGTTCAATAACATAAGTGCTGGTGAGAGAGAAAAGGGGAATGTAAACCCTCAAATTTTTCTGCTGCCAGTTCAGCTCCCCAGTTCAATAACATAAGTGCTGGTGAGAGAGAAAAGGGGAATGTAGCCTTGGGAGAAGTAGGACAAGCCCTTTCACTGACAGCTGGCTGTCTGGCAAGGTTAGCTGCCTGTGAGAGTGCACAGTTCACCTCTGGATTAAGAGCCACTTACTACTGCTGAGCATCTTGGCACCTAGGGCATAATTTGTTAATTCAAAGGGAAATTACAGTATCTGAGAAAAGCTAAGCTTTACTCTTTGAATTTAACGAACAGATTATTCTTGCTTTTGTAAGAGACATTCAGGATTTCCTGATAAGCCATGGAATTAGCTCTAACATTCTCCCACAGGGGTTTTATGCTACAGAAATTAAGACTCGTTATGTACAGAGTGGAAAAAGCAAGAACATCAGTGAGAATACATTCAGCTCCCAGAACAGCCACTGTCCAGCCTCCACCAGGGGAGTTTCAACAAAATTTCAGTCCAAACATTCCAAATACTGTTTTTAATCCAAGATGAACTAACAGCTCCTGTAATGCCAAGCGTTAAGCTCACAATATATACCAAAGGTTAGTGTTTAGCAAGTCACTCCTACATTGGTGTGACACTGAGCCTCAGCAGCACAGACAGCACTGAAAGGTTCTGATTGAGCTACCAGGCAGAATTATCACAGGAGTTATTACTCAGAACACCATAAAATTCTTTTGCAATCAGCTGGTAAGAAGAGCAAAACTCTAAATTCTGCAGCTTAAGGCAAGACTCATCTTTAAACAGGATGTGGCCAAGCACAAGTGAATTTGTGCCATTTAAAATTCACTTCAGGAGGAGGCAAACTACATTTAAGATGGACAAAAGAGCTTTCAGCAGAGTGAAAAAAGGGGTGTTAAGGACATCTAGAAATAACCCCACAGGAATAAACAGAGAGGTGTTATAAAAAGGTCAGAACAAGCATTGCAAATGTTGGCAAGCAATGTGAACACTGCAGTGATGGTTTACTTTCAGCTCTAAAAGGAGCAAGAGGACAAGGTAAACAGAGAATGACCAAGAAAATTCAGATACTCCTTAAACTGAGTATTCCACACACTACAAAAGCTTTAATCTAAAACTCTAAATCAAGTTTTCCTTCTTCCATCTGCGGGTGGGGAGGAAGTGCAGAACAGGTTTTCCCAGTGAAATCAGTGAAAGACAGAGGCAGCACAGCCCCCTCAGAGCTGTGACGTGTTATTGTGCACCACACAACTCACACTAAATCACAGTGGTTGTAGAACCAGGCAGAATCAGATTTTCCAGCCAATTTGCTGAATATGATTACTTGCTGCTTCTCATTGTCGATTAGATGAATCACCATGACTGTGAAGATCTTTGCAACACCATCCCCAGCAGAGCAACTACTTACACTCAAAATAATCCTGTTGTCAGACATTGTAAGAGATCACAAACTTCTATTTAACAGAGAAATCACTCGGGCCTCCACTGAAATAAACGTAAGAAGGTTTACAAGACAACATCAGCTTGTTTGCTTTCCTTTTGCCCCAGTTCTGAGCACAGCACCACGGTGCTGACCAACCTTTTCCAGTTTGGGCTTCCAGACATGAATCAGGGTTTCACGAAATCACAGAATGGTTTGGCTTGGAAAGACCCTAAAGCTCATCTGGTTCCAAACTCCTGCCATGGGCAGGGACACCTTTCACTAGCCCAGGCTGCTCCAAGCCCTGTCCAGCCTGGCCTTGAACCCTTCCAGGAATCCAGGGGCAGCCACAGCTTCTCTGGGCACCCTGTGCCAGGGCCTCCCCACCCTCACAGGGAGGAATTCCTCCCTAACATCCCATCTAACCCTGTCAGGTTGGATAACCCGGGCACTCTCCCATCCCTGCCAGCTCACACCGGCTCCCCACACCCCCCTGTGTCCTCTCCTCCACCAGCCGGGACGGCTCCTGCTCTCCTTCCACCGAATCCCTCCCGAGAGAAGCGCTGTCCCCAAGGAGCACTGGCTGTCCGGGAGGCTCGGGCGCTCACCCGAGGGCAGCGGCGGCCGCTGGGCCTGCGGCGGTGGGAGCCGGGCCCGGGGTGCCCTCGGAGACAACTTACAGCAAACTTACGGGAAAGATGGAAACAGAAGCAGGCAGTGAGAAGGCAAAGTAGAATGGCTACAAATCGAAAGAGAGGAAACTCAGGCTGGGCATCGGGAAGGAATTCTTCGCTATGAGGCCCTGGCACAGAGCGGCTGCGGCTGCCCCTGGATCCCTGGCAGTGCCCAAGGCCAGGCTGGACGGTGCCAGCAGCAGCCTGGGCTAGCCGAAGGTGTCCCTGCCCACGGCAGGGCTTGAACGAGACCATCTTTAGAATCCCTTCCAGCCCAAACCGCTCCACGGCTCTATAATTCCATACACCCACCGCCCCGCCACAGCGCGGCCCCGAGGCGGCAGCGACCCCGCCGCCATCCCGGCCTGCCTCAGCCGGGCCCCTCAGCGTGGCCCCGGCGCACAAAGGCCGCCGGGCGGGCGCGCGGGGGGGAGGGGGAGGCGGGCTGCCTGAGCTCTAGGGGGAGGCGGGCGGGCACGCACCTGGTCGGCGAAGTCCTCGGCGGTGTTCATAATGTCGTTGTGGCCCATGGCGGGGCCCGGGCTGGCTCGGGGCGGGCGGGGCGGTGGCGGGGCCGGGCCGCGCTCGGTGCAGGCGCTGCCACGTCGGACGGGCCGGGCCTTGAAGGCGCCGCCGCGCCGGCGCGCGTGGGGCGGAGCCTCCCCGCCGGGACACGCCCTCCAGACACGCCCCTCAGAGCTTTTAAAGGGGCCGCGCCCCCATCACGCTCTTGTGGGGGGGCTCACTCCCTCAAGGCCGCTACACCGGGGTCCCGGGTGGGAGGCTGGGATGTGTCCCTGCCATGGAAAAATATGAGGTGCTGCTCTCGGGCTCAAGCTGTACCCGGCAATAAGCGTCATTCTGGGGGTGTTTGCGGTGCTGGAGGGGTCTGTGTGAGGGTCTGTGACCAGGGCAGGCTGTGGGTGCCCTTGGGGACATGGTGTGAGTGCTCTGAGCAGGTCAAGTTTATGAAGGGTTTAGGAGGGGTCCATGGCCCTGGGGATGGTGTGGGGACCCCTGGGAGCAGCACCCCACCATAGGAGGTGGGGGTTGAGTGTCCCTGAGGGATTATATGGTCCGGGGGTGTTTTCAGCATGGGGAATGCCCTGAAGTGGAGGGAAGGGAAGGCCTGTGTTCCTCTCAGGGGCTGGGGGTGTCCTAAAGCCTGTGTTCCTACAGGAGCTCCCCTCAGGAGCTGGGGGTGTCCCAAGGCCTGTGTTCCCCTCAGGAGCTGGGGGTGTCCCAAGGCCTGTGTTCCCCTCAGGGGCTGGGTGAAGCTGGGGTGTCCCAAGGCCTGTGTTCCCCTCAGGAGCTGGGGGTGTCCCAAGGCCTGTGTTCCCCTCAGGAGCTGGGGGTGTCCCAAGGCCTGTGTTCCCCTCAGGGGCTGGTGAAGCTGAGGATGTCCCTAATCCTGCCGTGGGGAGCTGGAGGTGTTTTCTGTGTGGAAGGTTTCTATGGAAGGTTTTTTTCCCCTCGGTTGTTCTGCCCTGGCTGCGCTGGGTGCGTCCTGAGCAGGTGCTGGAGCGGCTCCAGCCCGGGGCACTGGGCACGGTGCTGGTGGCTCAGCTGAAAACAGATGAGGGTGCCCAGAAGAAATATGCAATAAAGCAGGTGAGCAGGTGGTTGCTGTGAAAACAAGAGCTTGGCATGTTTGTTGTCTCCAGGGGCACCAGGATAGTAGCAGGAGCCCCAGCTGCTGGGTGAGAGTGGGCTTGCTTGTTACTGTGCTGCTTTATGGGAAAATGGGAGATTCAGATCAGTTTAGTGTTGAGGCTCAAAGTGGGGAAAGGGCAGCAGCCTAGTGAGGTGCCCTCAGTGCTCTCACCTCAGCTCACTGCTGCCCTGACAGTGCAGAAACACTGTCACACACAAATTTTCAGCTCTGTTTTACCCATTTCCTGACACCAAAACTGCCCCAAACATGAGAGATTTGACCTGTCATTGAAAATTAATGTACCTTGGTAAGAGTGTTCTGGCTCAAAGTTCCCTGGTGTTTTTGTTACAGTCTCATCCCTGTCTTTTGTTTGATGCAGGTTGAATGCATTGACCAACACCAAGCAAATGTGGCCTTGAAGGAGGTATTGGTGCAGCCTTTTCTTTACTACTTCTCTTGCAAAGACCAAAGTCTTGATAGAACCAAGTCTTTTATCTACAAGGATTAGCTGAGTAAATAAGTAAATCAGGTAGGACTATTTATGGGGTGTGCTCTCTGCCCTCTGCTTGGGCTCAGGCCAGGGTTTGTATTAATTGTTGTTATTTGTGGATATGTAAATTCAAATGGACAGCTCTTCTCAGAAGATAATTCCTTCTCAGAATTTTTGTTTTGTGAAGCCAAAGGACAAAACTCATCCTTTTGGCCTTTAGGCTAAAGGAGAACCATGGTCTGTTTGTAGTTTATCATTAATAATTCAATGTCTAGATAACATATTTAATGATGTGCTAATTTCTCAGAGTTGGTTGTTTTTAATATGAATGATTTTCTGCCTTTGTTGTACCTTTTTTTTTTTTTTTTTTTTTTTTTTGGTGCAAACTTTGTTGCAATGCCTTGAGTAAGCAGCATCAGAAATACTCTTAAAAGACCAAAAATGGTTTCAATAAAATAGTGGAATAGCACATGATGGATGATTCTCCCAGTGCCCAGTATGCACAACATCTGGAGTTGGAAAAGAAGGAGAATAAATGTCCGTGCAGATATTTTATCCTGGTCAGAGAGATGACCTCTTTCTGTAGTAAATATGGCATTACTAGTAAAACTTGTTCCAATTTTCCTATTGAAATAAATATTGAATTACATCTATTAAAATAAATGCACTTGAGCCATTTGGGAGCCTGGCTCTTTTTAGCTTTTTCTGTTGTGCCTGCACAGCCACAAACACAACTACAGAAGAGTAACCTGAATTCTCTTTATCTTACACATAATCAGCAAGTTTGCTGAAGTGGTTAGGATTTGTTAGAGCCCTGCACAGAAACCACCTTCAAGGAGATAAAAATCTCTCGTGCCATTGTATTTGCTGAGGTTCAAGCTTGCATGGAGGTTACAGGAAATAATGGCTGCACTTGAAAAATCATCCTGACTTACATTCTGAGAAATGTTTTCGGGTTAGGATGCTAGGAACTGAAGAAGGGGGTGGTTCACACATCATCTCCCTGTGGATCAGTTTGTATCTTTGAATCTCACAAGGCTGTTGTTTTCCTTCTTTCCACATTTGTGTATGCAAATATTTAACAGAGCTGGCACTTTGGAAGAGTTTGATCAGAAATGTGACATGAACAAGTGAGGAACTGGCTTTGGGTGTGATTTAAGGTCCTGTTAGAGGGAAGGACTTGTAGCTATAGAAAGCTGTCTCTATTTTATCTTTTTCTTTGCAGGCAATGGATTTGCTAAAACTCTGCCATTCTAACGTCTGTACTTACAAGGAATTGTTCCTGACTTGGAATAATGAGGTGAGAATGGAACAGGATTAGTTAAACTGGAACGTGTGGTTTAGTTCTAGGCACACGAGCCTATTCACAGATTTAAATTTGGGGTCATTGGGGTGGGATGCTAAAAAAGAAGGTTTTTTGATTTGAAACAATCCTGATTTTTTTTTTTTTTTTGGCTCCTGAATACACACACTAAAAAGCTGTGAATATGTATGAATTGGAGTCCATCACATGGCAGACTCCCAGATTCTGATGGGAATTAGTGTGCAATTCTGATTTTAATGCCTGCATGAAAACCCTTCTGTAGGGGACCATAAGAAGCTGAAAGCTCTGACTTACTTGCAGATTTTCTTCAGTGCTGGGACAGAACCTTTGATGATTTTATGGATGTATAATTGATTAAAATCATCCTATACAGCTCCAGATAACATGCTTGTTAGTGGTGGTTTGTTTTATTTGCTAAAATAATGAACATTTTAATGATGTATTTTTAATGAAAGAAATTAAATATCGTCTCTTCTGTGAGAGAATCTTCATCTCAGAACCCTTTTGTGCTGTGAAATCACACCACCAGCTTGGTTTGTCTCTGTTACCTGCAAACAATCCAGCAATTTTGGTGCAATGTTTTATTTCAGGTCTCATCTCTGTTCCTCTGCCTGGTAATGCAGCACTCAGGCCAAGGAGATCTCTCAGCTCTAATCAGGGAAAAGAGGCAGAAGTCAGAAAAGATAGCAGGCATGGTAAAAAGCACAGAAGAGGCACCTGTTTGAACTGAGAGATGTTGCTTTTATGGTATTCCTTCTTTCTGAAAATCCTCCCTAAAGCCTTCAAAGCACAGGAGGGTGGATTTGGAAGCTCACTTCTGAAAGATATTTGAAAGTTCCTCTGTTTGTGTTACACCTTCATGTCTATTTCCCTCCACAGGTGGTTCAGAAGTTCCTGGGACAGATGGTGGATGCTTTGTTTTACATACACAAACAAAATATTTGGCACAGGTGAGCAGAAATCTTGTTTTCTTTGTGTGACAGGCTCCTGTTCTTTGCAGTGTTGGTTCAGCCATGCTCAGAGGCAGGGAATTTTACTCTTCCAGAAGGGGAAATAGGGGATAGGAGTTCCAGACTTCAGATAAGGTTTTTTTTACTTCTGAAATTACCTATTTCCTGAGTTTTGTCTGGAATACTAATTTGATTGAGGTATTATCTGCTGGGTTGGTTTTTAAAAAATATTTTAAAAATTGTCCATCTCTGTAAATGCTCACATTTTGGTGGCTGTGTTGGACAAAGTTTGTGTATCTGAATAAAAGACAACCCTTGCATTCCACACTCTGATCATTTTGTGTCCCAAGCACAAATTTTAAAGCATTTAGAGAGGAAAATAATTGTGTATTGGTTGATTATCAGTTGTATATTAAAAAAAAAAAAAAAAGAAAACCAACAGAACACGAACAAAAAATGTGCAAACCAATTCTCCACCCCCCAAAAAAAAGAAAAAACAAAACAAAATTTCTGAGGGCTAAAGATGCAGGGAATTTGTAATTATATGTGATCAGACTCTAATTTCACATGCTGACAGAAAATATTTGTGTTGCAGAAATCTCAAGCCATCAAACATCCTTGTGACTGGTGAACCATCCTTCATGCTGAGTGACTTCAGCACTGAAACACTTATGGGTGATGGGCTGAAATGGAAAATCAGAGTGGAAGAAGGCAGATATTTGTTTTGCTATTTTTTCTTTCCTACTGTATTTTTAAAAGGTTTCAGTTGTGCTGGATATTTTTAGTCCTCAGAGAAAAAATTAGGAAAGAGGAGAAATTCATCTTCCCTCTCCTTTCTCTGCATTAAATTATTTGCCTTCTAAATAGGATTTTCATAGGTAGTTGTCTGCAGCATTAACTGTGCTCACAAGTAAAAAATGTAGGCATGTGTGTGAGTTTCTGCAATCAATACAGTTGGAATCCTTTATAGCTTTGTCCTCAGGAACATCTTAGAAAAATATTCATTGGTTACAGTGTGTTTTGTAGTTTTTGGAAGCACAATGTCAGCAGTGTCACCATGTGATTCCTGTTTCTACAGAAAGCAAGTCTTGGATGGCTCCAGAAACATTTGGATTTTCTTTCACTGAGAAATCTGACATCTGGTCCCTGGGCTGTGTCCTCCTTGATATGATGAGCTGCTTTGTTCTGAATGTGTGTAAGAGAGATTTATTGGGGATTTAAA